ACATTTTTTCGTATATTTATTTGCCTACAGACTAATTCTAAGTCATATTTTAAAGTTCTACTTTCTGGAAACTCATATTCATGTTGGAGTCTAATGTCGTATGAACTTTAAAAATTAAAAACAATACTTTTGACCATAAGCACTTAGTATTTATCCTGTGCTTTATAATTCTGACTCTAATTTTGCTTTGTACTGGTTGGAAAAGTGAAAATTCTATAACAGTTTTTAAAAAATCCTAGATTCTGCCCATTAGCCGTTGGGGTAAAGAAGGCAGCCCGCCATGTCGTAGGTGCTGTGTATACCCACCGCCATGTCGTAGGTGCTGTGTATACCCGGCCTCGGATGCCGCTTTGAGAGTCACCGCACACAGCCCTGTCTCTGTGCCCAGGAGCTGCGTGGAACTCTGGGAGTTGTGCTCACTCAGCCTTTTCACGGAGTATTTAATGGTTTTTCAAAATGTGGCCTGACGTGCTTGTCTTCTAGCCTCATTCGTGTGAGGGTCCTCAAACTCATCTTATATGTTAATAAACATGTTTTCCTCAAACTCATCTTATATGTTAATAAACATGTTTTTTGTTTATTAGGGAAAATGCAGACCCCAAAATTATTTCACTGCAGGTTAAATTCATTATCTTAAAATAGTAAATTTAAATTTGATTTCTAACACCTCACATTTCTCTAGCACTTTAAAAAGTTTTATAGGATGTATTTCTATATCCTCAGTCTTGCTGTTGAAAAGGATCAACATTATATTTTTCACTGTTTTATGTAAAATGAGTTTCTATGTATAAAAAACACTTAGAGACTTTACCAATATTTTATCAATTATAATTTGTAAGTTTTCTGGCTGAAAGGATAAAAAATAATCATCTGCAGATGTTACAGGCTTGCCAAGGCATATTGTCCTGTTACTTTTACTTTAAAGTTTTATATGCATTTTTCATTGTGGTTAAAAATATGTAAAATTCACCAGGTGGACCATTCTTAAGCATATGCTTCAGTAGTGTTAAATACATTCACGTCATTGTGAAGCAGACCTCGCAGTGTTTCACCTCCCCAAACCCCAGCCATATACTCCTAAACAGGTTCTGCTGCTGCTTTCTGCCAGCCTCTCCTTGTATGAATTGGATCCTCTGAACACCACAGATAGATGGAATTGTACAACATCTGTCCATTGGTGGCTGGCTTATTCCACTTAGTGTAATGTCCTCAAGGTTCATCCATGTTTATTCTGTGATAGGGTAACTTCCTTTGTAAAGTTTAGTAATATTCCTTAACCTGTCTACCACATTCTGTTTAAGCACTTAGCTGTCAGGGGACATTTAGGTTCCTTTCATCTCTTGACTATTGTGAATAGAGCTGTAAGGAACTGGAGAGTGTAAATACCGCTCCAAGATCCTGCTGTGGATTTTTTCTGTGTATACCCAGAGGTGGGCTTGCTGAATTATATGATAGTTTATTTTTAATGTTGAGGGAACGTCATGTTTTCCATAGTAGCTAATCCCAGCCACTATGTATGTAATTCCAGTCCCTGCGCCCTCTTCAACATTCATTTCCTTAGTTCTCACTGTTATTTTGCTTTGCTTTCTGATAGCAGCCATCCTCTTTTTCTTTTCTGGGTTTTTTTCTGGTACCGGGAATCGAACTCATGACCTCGCGCTTGCCAGGCAGGTGCTGTGCCGCTGAGCTAAATCCCCAGCCCCATAGCAGCCATCCTAATGGTTGCACAGTGATGTATCTCAGGGTGGTTTCGATTTAGAGTTCCCTGATGGTTAGTTACGTTGTCTGTTGTCATACACTTACTGCCCACGTGGATATCATCTTTGCAGAAATGTCCATGTAAGTCCTTCGCCCATTTTGTAATCAAGTTGTTTGATCTATGTTGTTGAACGATAGATCTTTACAGATTTGGGGTGCTAACCTTTTATCAGGTATGTGATTTACAAATACTTTCTCCCATTTCGTAGCTTGTCTTCACTCTGTTGAATTGTCCTCTGATGCACAGAAGTTTTAAAGTCTAATGTAGTCTCATGTGGTAAATTTTTGCATTGTTGCCTGTACTTTTGATGTCATGGCAAAAATACTATTGCCAAATCCAGAGACGCCAGATTCCCCCGTGTTTTCTTCTCAAAGTTCGATAGTTTTAGATCTTACTTTCGGGTTTGTGATTCACTGTGTTGGTCTTTGTATATGCCGTAAGGGTTTTCCTTCACCCTTTTGCTTGCGGCTTTTCCCAGCACTACTTTTGTAAAGAGACTGTGCCTTCCTCAGCCGGTGCTCTTGGCACGTTGTCACAGATCACTGACCACGCATGCCGGGCTTTACGTCTAGGCTTTCGTATTCCGTTGGCCTGCCCCTCTGTCTGTATTCCAGAACCACACCGTTTTGACTGTTGTAGCTTTTTTTTTTCCTTTTGAGACAGGGTCTCGCTATGCAGTTCAGCCTGGTCTTGAACTCATTTTCTAGCCCAGGCTGGCCTCGAACTTGCAGCAGTCCTTCTGCCTCAGCCTCTTCCTGAATGCTGGGATTACAGGCATGCGCCACCACGGCTGGACGGTTGTAGTTTTGCAGTGTGCTTTAAAAGCAGGAAGTGTGAGTCCTCCAATTTTGTCCTTTTTTCTTTTACTTTATAAATTGCAAAAGAATAATTCTTTTCAAAGTCTGATGGAAAGTCACTGTGTCATACATCATTTGGACAGATTTTTCAGGGTCAAATGAAAATAGGTTGAGCCATTACTAAATGTATCTGGGCATTTGAAATAGTTTCAAATGAAAATTTTGCTTCAACCATAAATTACGCTGATTTGCTAGTAAATTGTCTGTTTTCAAAAGATCATTGTCTCTGGCAATTATAGGTGCACCTATTTGACCAGCAGAAATAGCTTTATTTGGACTGAGATGGGGAGACCGAGTAGGACCTAAGATAGTATATTGAGCTAAAGAACAGATCACCTTCGAAAAAGGCAGTCACAGCTCATCAGCCAGATAGACACTACAGTAATCCTTTCTCGCCTCCCACGGCCAGTCGGGGCTGAACAGCAGCATGAGGCTCAGGAAAGGGCGGGTTGGGGGCACGAGTGTTAATTTTCCCTGTACAGCCCAGCAGCTGACGCTAGATACAAGAGCAGGACTGGTGAGACCGGAGGGGAGAGCCCAGGCCCTGTGTTCAGAGTTACTGCGGGAAGAGGAGGAGTGCTTGCCGTGCTCGGGCTGTTGCTGCATCTTTCTGTGAGATATCTTCATTTTCTTCTGCATCTTGTCCATCATCATCCCTAAGCCCACCAGGTTCACAGGAAGCGTGCCGGGGCACCCGGGTGGTGGCTGGGGAGGAGGACAGGGACCTGAAGGTTGATGTCCCAGATGCCCTGGCCGAGGCACAGAAGAGGGCCCTCAAGAGGAGAAGCTCCTGGGGGGCGGGGTCTAGGGGCCAGGAGGAAAGGCTGGACTGACAGGAGGTGGTGCGCAGGATGGTACCTCCGGGGCAGCTGCCGTTGGGAGGACATGGGCCTGGCCCTGGTTGCCCAGCATCAAGATCCACCTGTTCAGGTGTCTCCCCCACCTTCCCACCCAACCTAGGCTCAGTCCTCCTCTCCAGTCTCAGCTCTCCAGAAGTTACAGACTTGGAGGAAAAAGAAAATCACTTGAATCCCCACCACCTAGCCAGCGTTAATACTGCGTGTAGTACGATCAAACTTTTTCCGTCGCAAGTATATACATAAATATCTTCATATGCATTGGTAAATAAATTGACTCTCTATGAAACTTGGTGTTCGTGCAAAACAGAATCATATGTGTACTCTCTTTTTCTTTCACTCAGTGGTATTTCATGAATTTAAAACACTGTGTATGGTAGATCCAAACATCATTTCTGAGGGCCAGCTGCGCTCCATTGTCTTGAAGCTACCTGGTTGGTTATTTCTACTGTTAGACACTGGGACCGCGTCTTCCTTGGCGGTGTGTCTTCATTGTTACAAACGGTGCTGAGATTGTATTCATACACATTCAGCTTCACTCCGGTGGTTATTTCTTTAGGATAAATTTCTAGAGGTGAAAGTAGTAGATGAAGAGTGTAAAGTATCTGATGGAGCTCTGATGACATTGCTGAGTTGCCTTCTTCAAACTGGCCATTTAACTTCCGCCTCTGCTTATGTCAACCCTTTTCCAGTTCTCTAAGTAAAATGATACATTTTCTGTTCAGCTTGCATTTACTTGATTAGCAGTGAAGCTAAGCATTTTAATATTGTTCTTAAGACTTCCATCAGCCATTTTAATTACGAAATTTTATAATTGCAAAGTGTTCTTCTTTGGGGATTGAATATGCTTTGCCTGTTTTGAGTGGTAACACTCACTTCTGCCGTAATGACTTTTGTCTTCCCCTACAGACTCACGTTACACACGGTGAAGTACGCGGACTTAAGTTATAACTGGAATAATTTCTTCGAATTTTGGTTGCCCATTCACTATGCTAATGATGCCTTATTTTTGCCCTCGAGATAGATGTATAATTCCTTTTGTCAAAGCTGTCACTGCCTTCTCTGGCTCCTGGGTTTCTTGTCTTACTAGAAGGAAAATCAAATGTCAAGATTGCTTTTATGGTTTGCTTACCTTTTTTGTCCTCTACATCTCAAATGTAAAAACATAGCAGTTTATCTATAAGGTGCTTTGTAGTTTAAATTACAAGAGAATCACCAAAGACATAGAACCCCGCGTTCCACATGGGCCCCTCCCGAGCACCCCACCCCACTGTAGTTAAAGGGTGGACTGATCAGGCTCTGCGGTTACGTGTGGTGGAAGTGATATTTTTGAAGTGTTCTCTGCCTGCCAGAAAGGCTCTCCAAGGTCGTGCCTGTCCGAGGCAGTTACACGTAAGCCTTTGGGCACTTCTGTTCAAACGTAGAATTGTGATGGAGATCGCCGGTGATTTGTGATGAAGAACGCACTTGCTGACCCTGTTAAGCTTGGATGGCAGCTAACCAGCATTGTTCTCCTTCCTCTTCTAGATTTTACAGGAAGACTAAACTGGTCGGTTTTCAAGACATGGAGTGTGTGCCCTGCGGAGACCCGCCTCCTCCCTACGAGCCGCACTGTGAGTGAATGCACAGCCAGTATAGCAGAGGGGGCAGCGGGCCTTTACATTTTTCTCTTAAGCCTTTCTTTAGCTGCAAATGGAACAAAACCAGCCTCTACTGTGGGGCTCACGGTGTGTATTCTTCATCAAGCCCTCATGGGACAGAAAGCCCTTTGTCATGTGCCTCGGGCAGCCAACTTCTCGTCGGTTTGCGTCTCCCCGTAAAACGTGCACCCTTTGCTACTGCCATCTGCCGTTCCACCCGTAGCGTCCATTCTAGATACATTCTGCGGCAGCTCCAGTCAGCTAGTGGTCCAGATCCTGGTGTGCGTGGCTCCGTGGCTGTCCGTGAGTTCTCGGTTTCCTCCCCAGCCCCCAGACAGGATCGTGGGGTGCTGTCTGCCTTTCCAGTTTCTCTGGGTGAATCCCTGCCCTCATTAAGGTGTCATAGATGGAACCCTAGTTCCCATCATCCATGCCTTCATTTCTCCACTTGAACAACTAAATGGGAAGAAAGGGCTTTTGTGGGCTGTGTATTGATGGTGGACGTATTAACACTAGTTAATCCTCTTGACCCTGCATGTTCCTTAGATATAAAAGGTATTTGTTACAGATTATCCACCTGCATGGATTTTGAACAGGAAGAAAAGTGGTTGCTCACCCCTCTTAAGCCTGAGTAGAAACATGGGCAGTGAAAGCCCACAGATGGTGGGAGGGGAAGCGGTCAGCCGGGGGGGGGGCTCCCCTGAGGGTCCAGGGCGTTGGGCACCTGGGTTTCACAGCTCGGGGAGATGGTGGGTCCAGATGGGGGCGTGGGGGAGCACAGTGGAGCATAGCTTGCTCTATCCCATGCGTAGGTTGCTGCAGCCTTTCCAGTAAGCGTCGTTTTGATACAACCCCCAATACATGGGCTCTGTCCTCTTGCTTTGTTCTGTAACAAAGGTTCTCTCCAAAGATATTGACAGTTGCAGTATTATACTGCATCTCTTTCTAAGGATGCCGTGGAATTTTGCAGCCCATATTACTATGTCCTTTACTGAAATGTATTATATTCTTCATTTGAAATGATGGAAAGCAAAAGAATTGGAAGGTTTTTCCTAACTTTTATGGAAAATGTATATTTATCCTTATTTTCATAATATGTAAGCATGCACCAAATAATTGGTCGCAGTTAACAAAGGGAAGCATTGGATGCCTGTTAGGTGCGTCTCGAAACATCTGCTGTACTGATTTGTTTGACTGACTTCTCTCAGTAATCCTGTATCAGCCCAGACTTGTCCATGAGAACGCTGGTCCAGGGCTTTAGTAACACCGCTTTGCTGGCTGACAGATAGCCGCGGGTACTCAAGGGCAAGGCTGCCTAACACCAAGTGCGGTGTTCCTTCTGCACACTCCACTGTCTCACTGCAAATAACCAAACTATCTGCTAAGTCCTGCAAGGTGACTTCCTCTTGGTTTGCTTGATTTAATAATTTACCTAAACTCTAATAATCTACCATATAGAAAGATGGAAAGATCAGCTTTCTGCAGCTGCACACACCCTAAAAAGACGACTCTTGCCAACTAAAATGCAGTGACCTTGTCTTACCGGGGGTCAGCTCAGCCATTGTTTGGAAAAAAAGTTAAGATTATGCAATTCATTCCAAGCCACCATGGAGAGACTTAGTAAATCAGTATTGCCCAGTATACGCTTGTAAAGTACTATAAGGGTTTTCCGCCCTTTAATTTATTGAGCTTAAATTTAATATACTTGAGTCAAAAGTCTGAGGCTTTGGAATGTCTTGCCTTCAGGGTCTGGTTAAACCTAGACATCACAAATGTGCCTTTGAATATAGGTCTCCCGTGCAACTTCCCATGTTTTGTGAAAGTCCTTAGTTAAATTTTTGAAAAGAAATCTAATTTATTTAACATACATGTGTGTATACCCATACATACTCATGTGTGAAACTTTTTAAGAAGCAAAGAAATCTGAACTGTCAAGTTAAAAAAATGCAGCCTGCACAGCTAGTAGCCTTTCAGATCATAAAGCAGGAAGTCTGGTGGTCTCAAGCGAGCGCTGCTCCTTATCTGTTAGAGAAAGTTTGCTGCCTTTGGCTCCATTCTTGGGAAAAATTCCAGAACACAGCTAATCTCCTCAAAGGAGATCTTGAAGCCTTTGGAGGAAATTATGCAAGACTACTTCTGTTTTCATTTCTTCTACTTCGGGCTTTTCAGTTCATCCACAAAGAGCTGCTTCTCAGTGGTTTCCCCTGAGGAGTTCTGTCCCGCTGAGAATCTTGCTATCAGGAAGGACGCCTCTCGCACTTTCTTAAATAACGGTGTGTGTGTTTGAAGTGTCTTTTAGGAGCGGGAGTGGCCCGCTCCTGGGTAGCCCGATTTTTCGTAGTGGGAGTAGCCCTCCTGGGTTCCTCTGGAGGGCCGGGGCTGCCCTGCAGCGGGGCCCTGCGTGCCCGGGCTCTGTGCTCAGCGAGATGCTTCATCTGCCCTTTATGCGCCCCTTGGGCTGCTCTGTTTAGAACTCACCTGTTCTTCCTCAGGGCAAATTGGACCGGAGGCCAGGGAAGTAAGGTCCAAAGTACAGTCATGTCGTAGGACATTTCACTGTATGGCAGAGCCTGCATACAGCAATGCTCCTGTAGGATTCCAGTGGAACTGAAACATTCCTGCAGCCTGATCATGTTTTACGGCACCTTTTCAGTATTTAGACACGTGGATAGTTCCCAGTGCATTACAGTTGCCTGCACTATTCAGGTCAGTCTCATGTTGCAGTTTGTAGCCGGGGCGCAGGAGGCCCTGCCGCTCGGCCTAGCCTTGTAGGATACTCTGATGTCTGCACTGCCACAAAGTCACCTAACAACGCATTTCTCAGAATATGTCTCTGAGGTTGAGCAGTGCAGTGACTGCTCCCGGTGCCCACCGAGTGCTGGGCATATATGGAGTACAGAGAGGGCCCAGTGCTGTCCTCTTGCGGCTCACAGTTGGTGAGGGAGTTGTCACGTCAGTTCTGAATTAAGGAGCATGTGCAGACTCCAGACACCGATGCACAATGTGTCAGGGGTCGGTTCCATGCCTGGCGGGCCCCACAGTGCTGAAAGAGTGCTGTGAGTGGAGACGTGATGGCCAGGGGTGGCTTTCCCGGCCAGTGGCTGCAGAGCTGTGACCTGCAGGGTCAGCAGGAGGAGGGTACTCCCGAGCGGGGGAGTGAACAGGGCCAGGGGGAGGAGGGGCGAAGCAGGTCCCGCAGCTTCTCATGCTGGGCACAGGCCAAGTCCTTCCACAGTGGACACATCCTTTGATCCTGGCACCCTGCGGCTCTGTGGTGACATGACATGTTGGTGGGAGTGGAAGCCAGACCACGCTAGAATGAGGAGCTGTGGTTGGGGGAGGAGTGGAGACAGCAGCCAGACACAAGTCAGCCCGGTGTCTGCATGTGAAAAAGCACCACCATGATGGATGGAGGGAGTTGTGTAGGGAACAGAGGACGTCCTTGTTTTATAGTCGTGTGTCACTTCACAACAGGGACCTGTTCTGGGAAGTGTGTCATTCGGTGATTGAGTTGTTCTGCAGACATCACGGTGTACTTAGACAAACCCGGGTGCTGCCTCGTCACTAAGCAGCACAGCGTGCTGGATCACTGTGGCGTAAAGAGCCTGCACCACACGAGAATCGGCTCTGCGGGCTGTGATGCCTTTGATCTCTTGGTTGAGAGACGTATCTGTGCACTTGCAGATTTGGGGGGAGGTTGCAGTTGAGAGAGACTGACCATTGTAATGAGATAAACGTGCGTTCAGGTGCTTGGAGAAAGCTCCAAGCACAGGTTCGGGTTGGCCTGAGAGGGAGGGAGGGAGCGTTCCTAACTGCAGCCAGAGGGCAGGAAGGTGGGCAGAGGAAGAAACGGGGCTGCTTCTTCTGGGATGGGAACACAGGGTTCTGCACCTGTGAGCTCAGAGGCGCCTGGAGGGAGACAGTTGTGGAGGAACTCAGAAACTTGAAGAGTGCTAGGGTTTGGTGTTCACATTACAGAGGCAGAGGGTAGGCTGAGAAAATAATGGGTTTCCTGAGATACCAACAGCCCAGCTAAAGTTGTCAGTCAAAGCACGACATGGATTTGCCTCTCATGTGGCCTCTGCTGCAGGGAGGGCCGGGCCACCTCAGAGGCTTCCCTAGGACATGCGTAGGTTACTCCCAGAGTGTGTGGCTTCTGCAAGCAGATCTTCAAGGGGTGGCCTCCTATGTGTTAATAACACAAGTATTACTTTAACGAAAGGACATTCTCTTTTATTTATCTAATTTGAAGCACACCAAGTACCAACCTAATAGAAAATATGAGGTTGAAAACTCAACTGCCCAAGGGGCCACCCTTGTTCCACACTTAAGCAGTGTTGCAGTGGGAAGCAGAGACACCAAAAGGACACCCAGGATTTGGAGGCAGATTTATTTTACATCAATGGGCACCAATCGGGATCACTCCCAGAATATCAGGCCCTGGTCTCTGCTGGTCTAGGCCTTATATTGGATAAGCAAGCAGGAAGTACAGAGGCAGAGTGGCTTGTCAATTGGGGGTTGGTTTGTACAGTGTGCATCACAGTGACCAGCTGTGCATCACAATGAGCTGTCATTTCTAAGAGACAGAAGCCCCGGAACTGGAAGAGGCACTGTTACCTGGGCAACTAACAAACACAAGTATACTGGCTGGGGGGTCATTTTCTGTTACGTTTCTTCCTCTTTTAGTTTCCCCAGCAAATCTCTGCTGGGCATGTTACGTGTGGTCTTCTGAGACAAGGCCCAAATGGAATTTCTACCCTGTCTGTTCTGTAATATTGCTCTGGCAAGGCAGTGAGCAAGTTAATCTGATGTAGGAGAATGTCCAGTGTGCCTTGGATGCTCATCAAATTTTGATCAAGTGTTTGATTGATTGTTTTATTTTCCTGGGGCAACCATCCATAGAGTTTAAGGCAAAAAAAAACCCACAGCTATCAAGGGGCAGGGAAGGAAGGACTCGGGTAAGCAAAATCCTG